TTTTCATTATGGAACTGAATCTGAGAAATCCTGTGTGGAAATATGCAGTGCTGATTAATTCGCTATGGACCGCATCATAAAACAGAAAGCCGACAGAGATTTCAAGTTCTTAGCGGTTAATAAAGGGAGTTCAAATTTACTGTTTCCAAACTAACAGAAGCCATGCTTTACTTTTCTCTGGAAACCAAGACTGAGGCAAAAGCATTCTTTCTATAAACTACTATCTCTTATACAATGCATAGTATGCAGATTTTATGCATGCAGCGCAACAGATAACACCTTATAGGCCAGTGGTTCGCAACTGTTTGAGAAGACCCCAAAAATGATGATCCCCTCATAAGGGATCCCCCTTTTAAAATATGAAGGGACCTAGATATTTATGTAAAATATATGAAATGTATGATATATTACTGTGTGAAATAAAAATAAAAAATATAAAATTTGCTAAATGTTATCTAGAAAATATTGACTTTATTTTGAATTTGTATTTGAAAATATTTAGTTGTAGGCTATATCATTTTTTTATTTATTTTTTTAATATCTCTCCAGACCAATTTTACACATTTTTCAGTAACAGTCCTAGAAAAGTGAATACATAATAATAAAAACACAATATTTCAATATGTATGTCTCAAATTTGCCCCTTCCTTTTAAAATATGAAGGGAGCTAGATATGTGTAAATATATATGAAATATTATGATATATATACTGTGTGAAATAAAATAAAAAAATATAAAACTTGCTAAAATATTATCATGAAAATATTAACTTTATATTGAATTTGAATTTGAAAATATTTGGTTGTATATCATTTTTTTAAATATGCATCTCTCCAGACCAATTTTACACATTTTTTCAGCAACAGTGCAGAAAAAGTGAATACATAATAAAAAACACAATATTTCAATATTTATGTCTCAAATTTTCCACAGACACCATAAAACACTTTCAGTTGTTATATTCATCCAGATAGACTAAATATTTTCTATAAATATTTTGTTTTTTGATTTTGGCTACTGTTTAAAATGTAGCACAATCATCTTTTTTTCTTTTTTTTTCTTTGTTCTTTTTTTTTTGTGTATGTATTAGTAGTATTTTATAGAATTTCTGTATTTACAAAAATGTGGTACATGCCAAACAGTCTGCAGGTTTTTGATCCGAAACAAAATTTGCAGGAACATAGTTTGTGGGAGTCTGTGGAGTTTACAGAAAGTACTGCTAAACATTACTGAACTGAAAGCATTGTTTTCAGTCAAATAATATTAAAGCATGCTCTCACTCTACTAATGTGCTACCATTTGTTTTAAGGGCTGTGTTGATTATCGTCAATGTTGTTTCTGCTCTGCCCGATAAGTGGATTGTTTGTGTGAGCTGATGATTGTTTGGGTTGTTGTACCGTTTGGCTTGCGTTGGAGGAACATTGTCGTGTTTTGGCAGGTGGCTCGCCAGCTGCAGCCCTCAGTGATTTGGATCGGCGACGCTGAGAAAACATTCTACAAGAAAGTTCCAAAGCTGGAGAAAGAGGTTTGTCGCATGTCACAGTCATTAGAACACTTGAACACAACTTTGAAACATACATAGTCTAATACCAGACCATAAACTGTGATATTCTTCTCCATTTGTTTAGCCCTTCATTCACAAAATCAATGAATATAAATTAAAAACCTCTTTTTAAAGCCATTGTCACTGTGAGGTGGTGGACTCTGCTGTCCTCTTGTGGTTAAAGATGTAGATATTCTGTGCTAACGTTAAAAGAGTGCTGCTGCAGTATGAAAGTTTATGATTTTTGCATGTTTTGTTGTTCCATTTTGCTTCCAACAACTCTTTCAGCATTAATTTTAAAAACATTTTTTCCTGGATAAAAATAAGAATGTTCTTATTACACAATGAGGCTGTTAAAGGGGACTTTTGAGTAGATGAGTTTACCTCTTCGAATGATGACTTTTAATGTCCCGACAAACTCTAAAGTCCCATTTAGCCACTTGTTGATTGATGATATAGAATAAAATATCTTAAGCTTGTGTTAACCGCAGACTATATTTCAAGTATTTAACAAAAAGAGCTAAAATTGTCTACAAAAATGCATCATCCCTGCTGGACTCTATTGTTTTCTTCAGTTCAGCTGTTTCCTTATTCTGTTCATTTCTAGATGGAACCCAAAAGACTAAAGAAAATCCTGCCGAAGGTCCTAAAATCTATTAAACCAGAAGACCGTGTGTTAGTGGTGGGAACGACACGCAGACCTTTTGATGCAGACATCAAACCTCTCTGTAAAGTTTACAAGAAGATCATTTTGATCCCTAGACCAGATTATGCTTCGAGATTTAGTAAGTAATCATCTATGTTTGTGTTTAATATAAGTTTCATACTGAGATCGATTTCACATATTGAGTTAACACATTTATCGTTACAGTTTGCATTTCTATACATCATGTTTTGTTTTGCTTTTTTCAATCTAGATTATTGTGTATATTCATTTATCTTTTTTGTTTAGCTCTGTGGAAGGAGCTGCTCCAAGCAAGTGGTGCTCAGTTGGGCCCTAAGCTGGACCTGAGCTCTCTAGCTAAAGTTACAGATGGTTACACTCAGGGTCACATTCTTCAGGCGATCCAAACTGTCCTGAACTCTCACCGCCTCAACCAGCAGACCAAAAGACCCCTCACTGCTGTGGAGTTCATCCCACCTCTTGCAAGGCTAGACCCGGTCTACAAAGAAGAGGAGGAGGCCTTTAAGGTCAGTTTTTTGGATGTTTTCTGGAGGGACACATGTGTTGAACCCAGCTATACGTATACACACTGACTGTAGATTATGTTTGTATTTTCTGCGTTGATAGACGTGGTACGGCCGGACACCTCTGGGCAAAAAAAGGGCTCGAGCGGCCAGGGCCAGCAAGGAGATGGCAGATCTCAAGAAAGGGAAAACAAAAGGAGGAAAATTACAAACAAAAGGAAAGGAGGGAAAGAAGAAAAAGAGAAAGAAAAGGAAGTGAAAACAATGGGCACTCCAATCAGACCCTTAAAAAAATACAGTTGCAGTTCATTTTCTGGCCAGCAGAGAGCATCAGCACATCTCCCAATGATAAGTCTACTTCAGTGTTTAATCCTTTCCTTTGTTTCTCAACTAGTACTTTTTATGGTATTTTTTGTTTGGAGAAAAAACTATTCTACTAATTAATTCTACTCATTCCACAACCAGTTTATTGGATTATTTTGGTTTTCATCTGTGTGCTCTATTTTTGGCTAATTATGATATTTCTTACTTGAATTAGGTAGCCTATCTGGTGGGATGTCTTTTTCCCATTGGGGGAAAAAAATAGTTCTGTGATGATAGAGTCAGTGTAGCAGACCCTTTTAGTACTGAGAACTTAAAACATTATACCTCTAACAATTTCTCACAATTGATACAAGAGCTTGGACACTGTTCCAAACTGTTTGGATTACCTTCAACTGTATCACTGTGCAGAGAGGAAACACAAAGATGGGTGTGTTGTTTAATATTTATTTAGTTTTACTTTATAATTTGATCTATTAAAATGTGATTGTTGAACCTGACTTGAAGTTAGACAGCCATTAAAGGACAAAACATGAACCTGAAATCTTCTCTCTTGTCAATGTCCTGAAATGATGTGCATTCAGACTCTGATACAGGAGCCCATAAACATGTTTGCAAATAAAAATGTATAAATGTAATTGCATTGGATAACAGTATGAACACACTTTTCATAAAAAATAAAATAAAATAAAAATAGAAAAAGATAAGATGGTTAAAAAATAATTTTAAAAAGACAGTTTCAGTGCAAACTGTTCAAAGGGCTTTAAACGATTCGGGTCTTATCAAACGATCGGTCATTTAAATATTAGGCTATATAACAAAGTTTAAGTTTTAAGCACAAACGCTCTTCTTGATCTGTTCTGTGATGCACGTTCGTGACTCTCCGGTTCGAACTCGTTCGTCAAAATGAACAAATCTTTTTCCACGAAATGAACGAATTGACTCGGAAAAAGATTTGTTCATTTTGATGAACGAGTTCGAACAGGAGAATCACAAACGCGCATCACAGAACAGAGCAAGACGAGCATTTGAGCTTATAAAACTTAAACTTTGTTATATAATTTTTAAACGACTGATAAGACCCTTATTCATCATCTGGAATCATTTAAAGCCCTTTGAACAGTTTGCACTGAAACTGTCTTTTGGACCTTGAACCGTTTGGTTCCCATTGAAGTGCATTATATGAAGAAAAATCCTGGAATGTTTTCATCAAAAACCTTAATTTCTTTTCGACTGAAGAAAGAAAGACATGGACATCTTGGATGACATGGGGGTGAGTAAAGTATCAGCTAAAGTTTTTTTTTTTTTTTTTTTAAAGTGAACTACTCCTTTAACCGTGCTCATTTTTATTTTCATCTGCCCTCGTCATAATATTTAAACAAAATAACTTCCTCTCTCATCAGAGACATCTCATCTCTTCTCTGATGATGCGGCAGGACAACCTGTCACCCACATGAGAGCAATAGCAAATCACAACCATCCAATCGATTCCCGGTGGACAAAATCAAAAAGCAGTACAAAAAGCTGCTTCATTCACAAAACGTTGCCACAGGTACGTTTTTCTAATGAGCCTGGCCTGAAAGAAAGTCATACAGGTTTGGAAAGACATGTCAGTGAGTAAATGATGACTGATTTCTCGCTCTCTCTCTGTATCAGAGAGTTTATTGTCCCATGTAATCTTCAACCAAACTGTGTCTGCCATCCGGGCTGCAGTGCGACATCTCTGCCCAGGTTGCTTATGAGACCGTCTGCTCTGCCAAGCAGCTGAACCATTTCCCTTCTTCCTTTAGAATCTTCCCATGGGAGCTAAGCCTATTTTAAATTCATTCATTGTCGGTATTGTCTCCAACCCCTTGTTTGCAACATCATTGGTAAATTCCCCTCTCCTTTTCTTCTTCTTATTTTTTTTTTTTTGTGGGGTGGGGGGGGGGTTGCCTTGTTCTATCTTTATCCCACTCTTCGACTCTGATCTTACCGGATCCCCTCCTCCTCACCAGGTTTATAGGGCATGACAAACACAGTCACCTCAATGTGCTCTTTGTAGCTTCAGCTCACATCTAATTGAATTAATCAGGTGTGTGTGTGTGTGTGTGTAGGCTACATCTATCCCGAAGAACAAAAAGAGCCCTAAAGCTGGGTGACATGTTAAAGAGGAGTATTTTTTTTTCCCTTGACTTGCTAATTTAAATGCGAGATGTTGATATGCACGTGCCCAAATGCACTGGCTTATATTTGCACACCTAATTACCGAAAATAAAAAGATGATTTGAAGTCATCTTTTCCCGCAGTGCTCTTCATACTGCTTTTAATTAAATGCCTCGTTTGACTGTACATTATTCTCATAGGTCATTCCCCCTACACACGTCTCCCCTTCAGGAGTGCTAATAATTAAACATTATTCAGATTGGATTAGTCAGATGTATCTTTGTGTCTCACTGAGACCTGAGCGCAGTCCTTTCTCGCCCTGTGGCCGTTGATGTAAAATAAAGTATAACAACTCCTTCGTTTTAAGGAGCCTTTTAACCATTGTTTTGCAATTACTATTTAGTTCCCTGTCCTGTTGCTCCAGGGTGCAGGGCTTTCTTTCTTATGCAGCACTGCCTTTCCTGCAGCAAGCGCTGACCTCTGAGGTAGTGTTTATAGGGATGCAGCCTGCCCATGCCTTTACAACTTTAGTAACCCTAGGTTTGGCCTAGGGGCGGAAGGGTGAGACAGAGCCATTAAGAAGTTGTCCCTGATTTAATGGAGTTTTTTAAAGTGAGCATTCCAAATAGGCCATATGACAGGAGATATATCTGGGAAACTGACCCACAGGATAGCCTCTCTTAAGCTGTCACATTTGACTACATCCCTGTGTGCAGAGTGCACAGTTTGCGCATTGGGAATGTAGATGAGATAAGAGTGCTGTTTTGTAATGGCTTGAGATTTTATTAAATATAATATAATATAATAAATAATAATATAGATAGATGCATTTCTATTTCAAATAAATGCTGTTCTTTTAAATTTTATGTTTATTAAAGAATCCTGAAAAAATCACAGCTGTTTTATACATTTCAAGAATATAATAAGGTTTTTTTTTAGCACCAAAATGTTTAGTTTTGCCATTACATAAATTAGATGTTGAAAAATATTGAGATAAAAAACGTTTTCAATTGTAATACTATTTCACAATATTAGGGTTTTTACTGTTGTTCTTTTTTATATAATAAATGCAAATGAACGCAGTCTCGTTTAACAAAAAAAAAACAATAAATCTCATGGACTACAAGCATTGAATTATGAAAAGCTGAACTATGGAATAGCGTTTGGGTGCATAATGTTGCAACAAAATTACACTTTTCAACAAGTATTCTCTTCCCTGGTAAACCTACAATGATTTATAATTTCAATATAAGTTTATGACAGCAAAAATGCCACTTACACTTGCTCAGACAAAATGTTGTAGGACTTTCTTCTTGTTGGTGTAGATTCACTCTATGAGATTCACACAGACAGGAGAGCTTTATGTGATGAACAGATTGAATTTAGGCGATTTGATTAGCGAATATAAACAGAAGCTCTAAACCTGCTCGACACGTTTGAACTAACGTCATTGGTTCTTGCAGAACAATATAAAATTTACAAAATGCTATCATCATAAACTAGCTCTAAGACCCAGAATCTGCTCTACCTAAATTTACAGTCAGGAGCTGCAACTGGGCAGTACCATCCTCATATAAATACTTCATAGCTAACTGTGAGCTTAGTTAACCTCAGTGGGGAGGAGAGAAAACCCCAGTCACCTCCTTTCTGGAATAATTATGGAGAACAGAGAGAAAGAACAATTAGCCAGCTGGGTATTATAAAACAAAGCAATTAATGTTATGTTAATTAGCCCAACATCATGTAATTCTTTATCATTTGCTAATCATTTGTTAATTAGTCTGACTTTTTAATGCAGCAAATCAAGAGTGATTAATTTAAACATATTCTAGAATTGTAAAAAAAAACTGCAGATCTGCACAGCATGGGTTTAATTCAGATTCAACCTGTTTTACATAGTGTTTGCATAATGCAAATAGTCCATAATCACATTATGAGTCCCCTGAACAGGTAGGCCTACAATTGTTTGGCTTTTCCGAACACCATGCTTTTTACTAGCGGCTTGTCAAACAGTATAAACTGTGTGGATGAGAGAGGCCTGGCTACTCAGGCATTTCAGATAATCATTACTCACACAAGGAGTTACCTGGGAAGAAGAGCAGACTGGTTACACCTTTATGACTACTTTAAAAGGTCAACTTTTAATGTCTGTATGTCAGAGCTGTTTATGCTGATGCTCAGTTTTAGAGTGAGAGTGACAGGGTAGGCTGTGCTACTTACAAAGAGGGGCTGCTGAACCAGGTGAGTGAGCAATTAAAGTCCAGGTGTGCTTCATCTCAATTACACCACTGCCCTGTCACATAATGACCAACCAGCCTGCCCCAGTCAGAAGCTCCAGCAGGGGAATCTGGGAAATCACAGACCACTGCTGCCGCCTTTTTGGACAGGGGCGGGGAAGCCCTAACGTGACTCTTTTACGCCCTTGAGAAACAGAAGTACAAGTGATTATCCACATAACTCTTTATTCAATTTGAGATTTTCTTCTTTGCCTTCTAAGCCAGCACTGAGACTGAGTAGATGCCCATGTCAATATCTGCAGAGGTAAAGCACAGAAAAGAGTAGCACATTATTATAAATAGGGAAGATTGGGGTAAGATGTGCCAGTTGGTAATTTCCAAAAAAGAATTGTTCACAGATTTACATTTTTTTAAAGACAAGTAAACAGTCAGTAATAAAAAAAAGCACAAATTAAAGGCAAAAGCACAAATACATACAAAACAATACATACAAATAAAATAAACAGTGCTCTTCAGGCAGGTCTAATAGTTTTCAGGTAACGAAATGTAGCCTAATAAAGTAGGCTAATCAAATAAATATCACTGCATAGTCTTCACATCAAAGATCAAGAGCAGTGAGTTGGGGTTTTTTTTCTCTCTTCTTTGTCCTTTATTGTTTTGTTAACATTAAAAACACAGACCATAGACTGTATAAAACAATGGACGTAGTGTCCGTGACGTCACCTGTGATTTCTGAAGAGCATTTTTGAAGCCCAAAGTGGGCGGAACCAGCCGTCGCCATTTTGGCAGCGTCACCTCTCGTCACTCCCAGATAACCGAAAATGGGCAAAGAGACGGGATTAGCTGAGGTGACGTGCCGGCAAACATACAGCAGACAAACGTGACAGCAGCGCCAATCCACCTGTCACTCAAGTGGCGATTCATGTGTGAAAAGGATTCTTCATGCTTCTTCCCAACCATTCTTTCACAATTTGAGCCAGATGAATATTGACATTATCATTCTGGAATATGGCCAAGATGTGTCTTCCTATATGGTTGTTTAAGAAATGAAAAGCTACACACCATCAATTAGGGTTACAATTACTGTTGCCAAACACATAACATGCTTGAAACATAATTATCACTGCAATAATGATCCAATCACAGAGTTTTGAGCTATTTATTTCTGCCTATTTAAAACTAATAATATTTCACAATATTACTGTATTACTGTATTTTTTATACC